CTCTCTAATGTCAGAGGAGAAGGCTGCTAAACAGGAGACAGGCTGCTGAGGCATGTTGTGAGCCAACAGCTTGGAAGGATTTGGCTCTGTCCATTATTGCAGCCAGGGTTTGGATCCAGGATCTCATGGACCAGGAGGTTTTACTGCCGGTAAGAGATCAGAAGGCTCCAGGAGAGCCCAGTCATGCGTTCTGCACAAGCAAACACTGGTGCCCTTCTACAGAATGTAAATATGGGAGCGCCAACACCCCACCCTTTTCCACATGCAGTCAATCTCACCTAGACCACAGAGACGTGAAATTAATCCAGGCAAGAATGAAGCTTGTGCTCCCTCCTTTTTTACTCCAGGCCCCAGTGAACCTTCTTCCCTTACACAGGTCGATAAATCAGGGGAGGGGAGCACTCTCACCAGGGCTCCTGATCCAAGGGATTGCCTCATACAGCATTTTCTTTGTGAGCAGCAGCCCTATAGGCCTGATTTACCACCCCTCAATCTCTTTATAAGCATATTTCCCCATGAGGGAAGGACAGCCCAAAGCTGAGGATACTCTGAATGACTTAACATGCAGAAGAGACTTTGGAAGAATCCCTTAAAACATTAATTCCCCCACTTCTCTCTTTACCTACATCCACAACTAGTGTTTTTAAGAATATATTCACAAAAGCCATTCTTTAGCAATGCAGATCAATGTGATACTGCTTTAGAAAGTATAAACATGTTTTATCCAGGCTCTTTCACAGCCTTACCCATCTATAATTCAATTCACAGTAGTAGCCTCTGTCTCTTGAGTTTTCACAGATTTTCTCCTACCACCCTTTACTCCTTTGCATCCATACCCTTTTCTTGTAAATTAATTCCCCATCATTAACTATCTTTCTGCCATCACCCTCATGTTTTCTTAGCAGCTTTTATTGCCTTACTTCTAAAAGTGGATCATAACAGCTGTTCTCCATTGTAGCTCAGAGGAATCAGAGATGTGACTGCTCAATAGAGCAAAATCCCTCTGCTCCTCAGACAGAAGGACAGGCTACTAATTTTCTGCCAGTGGGCACGCCACTTAAAACAAAAATTAAGCAAGCTCCCAGGACATACACAACATATGTTAGACCTCCAGGCAGTGACCCTCCCTTCACACAGCCCTGACTTTCACTTAACTCCTTCTCCTCCTCAGCCTGCAGAAATAAAGCATTATTTCACAGGTCACAGATGGAAATCTCTGCTGCAAACAGCACAGCTGCCCAACAGCCCTTTCCATCAGCTATTACCTAAAAACAGGGCAAGGTTCTCCACCCATTATGCGCGGGGGTGGGGGAAAGGATACAGAAAAGGGAGCAATGGCAAACCGTGTGATGTAAACCCGCAAGCTGAATACATTAGGAGCTGTGGACATCCCTTATGACAGCAGCGTCTGCTCTGTTAGCACAAAACGCTGTTCAGCAAGGCACAAGATGTCACCAGAGGCGGTGACAGGGCCTGGCCAGGTGTCCCTCCACACCGGTGGCAGGGTGATGGGCGCAGCCTGCCCTGAGCCCCACCGGCCTTCGGGCACGGCCTCGCTGGGAGAGCCTGGCCAAGGCCGGCCGTGACTACAGCCCCGGCCCCACAGGCAGGGACTCGCTCGGGGACCGCGCACAGGAGTGCCGGGGGTGTCTCGGGCAGGGCCGGCTGTGAGGAGCCCCTCAGGGCGGCGGTTCCCGAGATGGCGCGGCCCCCTTCGCCCCCCGCCAGAGATGGCGGCCCTCACCTGGGTCTTGGTGGTGAGCTGGATCACCGCCTTCCTGAAGTTGAGCTTGGAGTCGGCGCTGCCCATGGTGCGGCCCAGCTGCAGGCAGGGCCGGGCAGGGCTGTCCCCTCACGCCGCCGCTCGCCGGGCCGCCGCTGACGCCATCCCCGTCCCCGCGCCGGCGGCTCCCGCTGCCTCCCTCCCTCCTCCTGTCAAACCGGGGCTCGCCGGTCCCAGCCCTCCCCTCCCTCCGCCCGCGGCTCCTCCTCCGCCAGCTCTCCATCCCTACATCCCGCCCCGCCGCTTCTCCTCTTTTCCCACCTCCGCCTGTCATCCGTCCGCCACTTCACCCTTTCCTTCTCGCCCTTCTCCTCGCAGCCCCTTCCCTCCGTTCCCTTCCCTCCCACACTTTGTTCCCCACGGCCGTGTCCCCACAGACCCTGCCTCTTCTCCACTCACGGCAGAGCACGGCTTTTCTCATTTCTCCTTCCTCGCTATCCCCTCCTTCCCACGCTCCCTCCGCCTCCTCTGCCCTGCGCTTTCCTTCACAGCCCTTCTCTTCTGCTCCATCCTTTGCATTATCCCTGCATCAACTTCGTCTGTCACCGCTTCTCCCCTTTTCTCGGCCCTTTTTCCACTCCCATGCCCGCAGCCTTTGTCCCTTGAAGCCCCTTTGCCAGGCTCAGGCATAAGCCCAGTGACAGCTCAAGCCATCACCGGCCACTCTCAGAACCTGGTCCCAAGCCCAGATGGCCCAGAGGTGCAAGCAGGATGCCAGGACAACAGACAACAGTCTGTCCCTAGCCCTGGGCTGAAAGGAACAAGCACACTTGGAACACAGACCCTGTTTGAGCACCTTATGAGGAGCTCATTGCATGCGGTGGCCCATTAACCCTAATGAAATTCCACCCACACACAAGGAGAGGATGTTTTATAACACTGGGTGCTGGGAATTCAGGATTTGGCACTCACTGAACACCTCAAAGCAGCTGTTTGAGGGCATTCAGTGTTGCCTTTGAAGCCATCGTTGCAGTTTTCTGCTCTGAGCAGCTCTGTGCAAGCAGGTCTATTTGGTACCCCTGAGTTACGTTTCATATGCTCAGCTCTACAAATCTCCTTTCTTCAGAGGAAGTGAAGTAATTCCAATTGTTCTAAAAAAAAAAAAAAAAAGCAGTGTGCTGACTTTCCAGCTGGGGAACACTGTGGGAATTCTCATTTGTTGACAGGAGTGATGTTTGATTCAACTGAATGACATATCAGATCTGAGACATTCTGGTAAAACCTACAGCAAAAAATATTTTCACAAAATCATGTAATCTGGCTTCTGCTGCCAGTACTTGCATCCAAGTACTCAATATAGCAACAATATATAAATAAATTATAAGAATTTATTGTTAGGAACAGAATAATTTTCAAAAGCAATTATTTCTCACAAATAATATAAGAACTCTAGTCCAACTGCCTGACTACTCCAGGGCTGACCAAAAGTTGAAGCATATCATTAAGGGCATCATCCACATGACTTTTCAATAGGCGTGAGAAAGTTAAGATTTTCCCATTTCTGTATTGAAATTGCCTAGAAAAAGATCTAAGACCTAGAGATGGCTTTCTCCCAGATACACCAGAAGTGCTTGATGATGTTTGCTGAGTTATAGATGCCAAGTTAAAGAGACTCCTTGATTCTGGTCTGTGATTCTATTAAGGCAGATGACTTTCTAGGCAGCCACTGAATTTGCAGAATGTGTATATGTGATAGAGAGATCTAGGAGGAGAAAATGGGAGAGGAATAATCTATAATTCCTCTCTTATTCCCATCTTTATCCCCCTCCTCTGCTGCTGTACACAAGAGCTGAGTACTAGCCCTTGCTTTAATCATCCAGGGGCTCCCAGCTGCCTGTCACTGCTGGATTGGATAGAGTTTTCTGACACAAATCCCATCTTTTCTGGATGCACAGTCTGCTGCTCTTGTGTAGACACTTTACATTGCCTTTTCTGCAGGCACCACTGCAAGGTAATATGATCAAATATAAATCCGTGGAATTCCATCACACAGAAGGTAAAAAAAACAACAAATCACCACCAACAACAACAAAAATCCCATTATCTGAACCCACTGTTATTGTCAGAGAAGTTGATTTGGATCTTAGAATCTCTGATGGGTTCCAGGGCTGACAAGCACAAATAAATTCCCTTGGGCCAAACTCCAGCTAGGAGAAAGACCATCATCTCTAACCCTTATTTCATTAAGGTGGAAAGCAAGCACCAAAATCCCAAGAATTTTTCCGGATTTACTTATATGTAATAGACACATTTCCTCCTCAGAACTCTATAAATCCTGGTTTCCCTGAATTTTAAGCTCATTCCATCTTTCACAAAGATAAGAAACATGAAAGAGGAATGCACCAGAGGCACTGATTTCCCGTCAGAGTGCGAAACAACACAAGGTTGGAGGAAGACACCACATTGAGGAAATTCTGTGGGGCTGTTTGTATGGGGTGTCCCCTTTTGCAGCCCCGGCTAAGGTGGGGGTAGATTATCTTCTTGAAGAACAACCCCCACAAACCTAGCAAGGCAGAGAAGGCACTGAAACCCCCACTGAGAGGTCCCGATAATTGCCCCAAGTCACCGTGAAGCCTATGGCAAGGCCAGGACACGGCATTCCAACCGCAAGCCCTGCTCCTGGCAGACCTCCCAGCCGGTAGGAAGGGAGCAGAGGGACTGCGGGGACAGCTCCCGACCTTTCCAGCCGGGTGAGCCCCACCCCGGCACCCCGCGCTCCGCTCCCCGCAGCCCCGCTGTCCGCGGCAGGGCTGGGCGGAGAGGAGGAGGCGGGGGAGGAGAAGGGGAGGAGGAGAAGAAGGAGGCGAAGGAGGCCGGTCTCGTCTCGCCTCCCCTTTCCCTCTCGCCGGTTTTCTTTGCAGCATTTCCATGCTAGAGGTCCCCACCGAGCTGCGGAGCGAGGATCTGCCTGGCTGCGCCGGGCCCTCTTCCTTCCTTTGTGCATCCCCCAGCCCTGTGCAAGCCGTGCCCCCCCGTCCCGGCCGCCACGTCCCCGCCGCATCCCTCCCTCCCGAGCGCCCCCCCGGCCTTGGAAGCAGGAGGAAGCCGCCCCTCCGAGCACGCAGAGCCGGGGCAGCGGCCAGGCACCGGCTGCCACGTCGTGCCACCTCCTCCTTCACCGGCCCGGCCGGGGCACCGAGGCCGCATCCCCGCCCGCATCCCTGCCCGTATCCCCGCATCCATCCATCCATCCATCCATCCCGTTCGGAATCGCCGGGCCCCTCTTCGGCGGATGCTGCGAGTCTTCCCGGGCCGCTGGTGCTAAATGCTGAGCGCCGACAGGATGGAGGAGTTTCAGAGCGAGGAAGAGGAGCCCTGGTACGACCAGCAAGACCTAGAGCAGGGTAAGGATGGGGACACGCCGCAAGCTGCCAGGGATGGTGGGCCAGGGGATGCGCGGGCAAGAAAACGGGCAAACCGCGGCGACAAGAGGGTGGGATACCTTCCCTCTGGACTACTATTTGGTTGGCAAAGCCAGCGCCTCATCCTGCAGTGGCAAATCTCGGCTACGCTGCTCCAAACCACTGTCCTGGCCAAGGAAAGTTTAAAGCGGATGGGTGAGGCAGGGAGCCCAGAGCTGACAAGCACCAGGGCAGTAAATAATTTGTTGTGTTACATCTTCAAGGAAGCTGGCTCCCCAAAAATCTTGCTGCAGGCTGAATCTAACAGGGGTAGTTATGACATTGCTTTTATTTCAGAGTAATCCAAAGTAGAGTTACCAGGCACATTAGTTAGAAATTAATACATGAGAAATAATGTATTGCTAAGGATGCTGAAAGTCTCTCTCAAAAGATTTTGCTGTCCAAGACCAAATCCAAAGGGATCTTCAGCTTCTTAGTCACCTAATTATTTCTGGAGATTTTTCCAATCAGCCATAAAACCAGGAAAAATATCAGAGGAGAAGAAAAAAAAATCAAAGCCAAGTTTCAAACAGCGAAAGAACCCTTGTTAGAAGATAAACATTCACTTCTGTAGTTTGCTTTGAAGAAACTGTACCTAGTTCAATGGAATGTTTATCCTAAGGCTGGACAGTTGGTGCCTGTGGCCCTATATGGGCCTTTTTTTTATTCTGTTTTTCTTATCTTAATATTTCAAATCAACACGCATTAAGTAAATAACTAGAAGAAGTCCCATTTCAGGCCAGTGGCCCAGGAATGAACAGAACTGATTTGCCAATGCATAGCAAAAGATCATTCCTACCTAAACACAGTTCCCCTCTGGCACGTTGTGGTATAGGTACAGTTTTATATTTGCTTTTCCCAGCTGATTGTCAGCAGGGATGTGCAGTCCAGCTGCAGTGCCTCAGCCCACCATCGCTCCAGTACATTATGTCATGATTTGAAGTTTATACAACTTCAGCTGCAGGACAGGGGCTCAGCAAGGAATGATAACGAGCCCCCCAGGGGTTGTCACAGCTGGGCTTTAACCCCAGTTTCTCAAATAACAGGAAGTAGTGGGTTACTAGGCCCTGTTCTTTGAAACACAACACTCAAACAAAGCCAAGAGCATGGAGATGAAGCTATCAGCTGGATAAACAGTGCAGCCTTTGAATGCTCAGAAATTCACATTTCTGGGTGACGTCTTCCCGTGGCTCACAAGGGGCCTGGGCACTGGTCCAGGGGCGGGATGCAGGCTGAGGAGCAGCAGAACTAGGGATGAATATAGGGAGTGTTGAACAATGTAGGACCAATTGATTTTTAGCCTAACGCTGTCCCTGGTGTCAGGTTCATGAGTCAGCACTGGCACTGTATAACTGGCTCACAATAAAAACACCTTCCCACTGCAGGTCAGGTTCCCAGCTCTGTCCCAGCAGCCTAAAAAGAGAATGACTGTCTCCAGATGATGGCTCGATGCTGGGTATGGTCTCCACTTTTGAGTACATAGAGAACTGCAGGAAAACACAAATCCAAAACAAAGCCCAGCTGTGCCTTTGCAGCCTCTTGTATATGAGTAGGGGCTGCAGAGGTTTGCACAAACTCAAGGAGAGATGTGGGAAGACTTTAATTGGGATCAGCCAAATGGAAAGGTCCTACGGGGTAATTACAACCGTAATTAATTTGCATGATGCACAAAGCATCACAAACGACAGTGCTAGACTTTGTCCACATACACTGTGCCTTTGCATGACACCCTGAGGTCTTTGGTCATGGCACAGCCGTGGAGCTGTTGGTTTGGGAATGGGGGGTGGAAGTGCAGCACAAGACATCCAGCATGGAACGATCAGAGGCGTTACTAAGAGGATTGGCATGCCAAGAGCTCAGGGTCGAACAGAAACCCACGCCTGGCAGCAGCACCAGGAGGGCAGAGGACAAAAGCAGAGGCTTAAAGACCGTTCCTTAGGAGCAAGGGGTGGGAGAAACAAAAAACAATCCAAGCTAGGAGAGCAGAGAAGGTTCTTCTGTGAACCAGTTGGTTGCTGGGCCTTTATCGTCATTTCACAGCATCATCAAATATTTATTACATTTACATCCAAAACTGTTTGCTAAGCAACAGATGGCTTAACTGGGAGCTCTGTGATGATTATGTTAATTAACCATTTTAGCACCAGAGTGGAAATCATGCCTCCAGCTCCACACCAAGCACCTGTTACTTTCTTCATCATCCTCCATGAGCTTCACCTTGCCAAAGTAACTATTTTTTTCAAAATAATAAATCCCAATCACTCTTTTTTTCCCCTGAATTGTCCACAGCAACTGGGTGCATCCACCACATGCTTTGGAAGCAGCAAGATCTGGTCCCCAGCCTTGAGGCCCTTACAGATTAAGGGAAGGTGCATTTCAGATGCCTTTACCTGTTTCCTGCATACTGTAACACTCTGTGGCTCAAGGCATTCTACCAAGATGCCTTAGCACATAGAAGCCAGGACCCTCAATAATGACATGGTAACAGCAGTGGTGTCCTGTGAGGTTTCCTTTGCAATGATCCTCCCTCTGGGAAGGCTTTCTGATTTGAGGAAAGTGGTAAAAATGGAGTTGCAAACCTCTCATACCATGACTTAGCTTATTGATTCATAAGCATGAAAAGCTATCAGTGCTGCTTTTGTCCATCCACCTTCCATGGCCCAGGGAGTCTGTGTCTCTAAGTGTTAAAATCAGGATAAAATTCTGGTGAACCTTTTTCCAGTGGTTGAAAACTGATGATGTGGCTACAATTGCATCACACCCTGCGCAGAGGGCCTATGTGCAGCCAGACCCCAAGAGAATGAATGAGCTAAAATTAGACAGTCTGAGCTGCAGCTAAGTGGGGGCACCTTTCCTGTTCATCAGGAGCGTTTGTGTTTGGGAGGGCTGTGTGCCAACTCAATTGCATCTGGATCCAAACAGACCCAGCAGCTCTGCCAGCCACTTCCAGCCTTCGTCTCCCCCGCAGCAATCTCACAAGATGAATCCTCCTTGCAGTCATTCCACTGCATTCCCTGATCTTCCCAGCCTCCCTATCCCCCTGCCAGCATTCAGGTCTCAGAGCAGAGTGCAACCCAAGAGGAGGCTTCTCGAAGCCACCCTTCTGATCCCTGGATTTAACCATAGCCTAAGACACATGGTGGGGGGGATTCTTGGGTGTCCTGCATCAGGCCAGGAGTTGGACCTAATGATCCTGATGGGTCCCTTCCAGCTCAGCATATTCTAGGATTCTGTGAGTGTGGGATGATTCCTCTCATGTCAATAAACAGCCTCTCACTGCTCTGAAATAGGCAGCAGGACCAGAGGGAGTGCACGAACCAGCACATCATCTCATTACCACTGCAAGATCAATTGTCCTCCTGAGCAGCCACAGAAATGTTTGGGCCAAACCATCTGCAGTGCAGGCTTAGGACGTTACAGCTGTAAATTCTAAAGGTCTCCAGATTTAAGGAACTTTTAATTCCTCCTCCTCTTGCCAAGCATGTGATTGCTTGAGTACTAAGAAGGAAAATGACACAAGGTGCTGAGCTTGCACCACTCCCAACTCATCCATGTAAAGCCACAGGGTCACCAGTGCTCCAGTGACCAGATCCTGGCATTGGGATGAGTCCAGGGGATCCATACCTACACCACCCAGGTGATATAGAGTATTGCAATTCCTTATCAGCTTCCCCAAAGCATTCAGTGCACAGGGGAGCTGGTGAAACTCCATATTCTGCCCCTCATGAGGCAGTTATCCCAGCAGTCCAGGGACAAGGCACACACCTTGCCTGTCCTCCAGAAGCACAGCAGTTGTCTCCCCTCCCTCCCTCCCCAGAGGCAAGCCAGAAGGACAGAGCTTTGCCTGCAGTAGCTGAGCCACTTATTTATTTAGCACTACAGTACAGCAGGTAGCTTATGGAAGTGGAAAGTTTTCAGTGGCTAATTGCTGAGCTGCTTAGGAATGACAAGAGGGACTGGAAAAGTCACAGGAGACAAGGAAATAAGATGACAGGTTAGTCTAAGGAAATGATGAGAGATTCGAAATATGTGGAAAAAAATAATATATATAGATGTATTTTCCTAGAGTGAAAATTCCCCTGTTACATTAAGACAGCAAGAAAAAGGGGCACAAGAAAGATTTCCAGTGAGAAAGCAGAAGCTCCTCTCCACATCTGCTGAGCCCAGCACATGGGAGGGAGCAGAACCAGAGGAACTGCTGGAAAGGGAAATGGGAAACAACAAAAAAAAAAAACAAGCTGGGGGAAAAAAAAATTTAAAAAAAGAATTAAAATATCGGAGTTTTCCATATCTCCCATCCTGAAACAATCAGCTAACAGTGGCAATTCTCCTTTGCAAGGCCATGCACAAAGATTTATGGTCTGAGTGCTGAAGGATGTTTTCTCCCAGAGGCTCTGAGCATGAGGGACTGGGAGCCAAGGCACCAGCCACTAACACCCTGCACGTGGAGCCTGTCCCCCCAGCCCAGCATTTTCCAATCCTCTTTCTTTGCTCCTGTACCAGCCAGTGCTGGCTGGTGACAGGGTGGATGCACTGACTCAGTGTGACGGGCAGGAACCACTTAGAGCAGTGACAGCACCAGGGTCCCATCCTGCTCCTGCTAAAAGCAGTGCCAGCACTCAGGATAACACACTGCTTGCTCACTCCTGCACTCACACACTGTCTCCTCTCCCAAAAAGCTTTCCCAGAGCAGCACAGTGCTAAATTCCCACCTCATCTTACTCCAACAGATCTGTGTGCTCGCACCAAACATGCCTTCAGGGTTTCCAAAGCTTCTACTTAATCTGCCCAAAAACAGGTATGCGGGCCAAGAATTTAGGAAAGTATCTCCAATACAAAATACCCCAAAGTAAGGAGACTAGATGTTACACAACCACTGCTTTTTGCACAGCTGGGAATTTCAAAGGGATTTTATGTTACAGTTTGGATTATGGTTTTTTTCC